AACTGCTTTAATATTCGAAACTTCTTGTATAAGACCATGTCAATTAAAGTGTTAAACAAATTAATATGTCAAGCAAATACTTATACTAACAAAGTGCACCAAAACTAAAAAGACATAATGCGATCCGATAAACATACAACGGTCACTATATATTTCGCCACTTTTTTCCTGGCCACACAATATTACACCGCTTTAAGTAGACATCGCCGATAATTAAATGATTAATTAATTTGCAGTCTTTACAGTATGATTAGGAATAAATCTGGAGAAAATGTTTTTTTAGAAACGAATAGAAGGGATCACTGAATTAATCAACTTATTTAATGCAAGTAGGGGCACTATATATATTGAATATGCTAACACAATATTTAACAATTAAATGTTAGGTTGCTTACATTTAATAACCTAACGCGTGGATATTGTAAAAAAAGGACAACAATTTAAAGACAAGTTGGTGATAAAAAATGTAAAAAATATAGCACAGTAACGTGATAAAGATATAATGTTCATGCATGCATGTGGCATTTGGATGCTTCGTCTAAGCTTGTCTCCTCAACCTTAATTTTTTCAATAAAATTCCCTCTGGGCATCTCAGCCACACATTACCTTTAATTTAATGAGAAAACACAATAGTTAATTGAAAAAATTACATTAAAATTTCACACAAAAAAATTAATTACTAGAAGTTCCATTAACAGATGAATTAAACTGCATTATCATCTAATATTGTTAAAATTATAGGGACTGAAAACACTAAAAATAAACTATAAGGGCTCACTAAAAACAAAACATGATGAACTATGGGGATTGATGATTACATTTTTCTTAATTTAATTAATCCATTAATTACGTGTGGAACGAATTAGATTTTACGTAATTAATTATACATATAGCAAATAGTAACTAAGAATATAATGTTGTTTGATGGTTAATATATAATACCCTTGGCCGATTGCTCTCCCTACAGCGTCATGCACGACTGTGCTGTTTTGGCTCTTCGTTTTTGTGTTTGGACATCATCTCTGTTTTGATTATTTTTTATTTATTAAAATGACACTCAATTCTTTGAGAATATTGTGCAAAAACCTCTCTTTCAATGCCTTTTGTCAATAGAATTGATTTTCTGTTGCAAATATTCTATGTAGCTGTCTTAAAAAATAGAAGAATTGTCTGGAAAAGTTAATTTAATTAGTAAACAGTAAGGATGCAATATGACTTATATCATCTACTCCACATTTTTAATTGAACTATATACACCAAATGAATTAATTAGTTAATTATCTTTAAAATTACATACTCTTTTCATGTTTATTCTTATTTATAATAGGATGTCTCGATTAGAAAATTTTATTAATTACACCCCTAATTAAAAATATTTTTGAAAAAACTTCATTAATTTCACTTTAAAAAACTTAAATTGTCTTATATTTTTGAATATATTATCTTTAAAAAATGCCTTATGTTAAAGGTAGAGAGAGAATTTTTTGTTTTATTTAAAAGTCATGTGATAATTTTTTTATCACAAATTTTTTATTTTACCTTCTATTAAATGTTGGTAAAAAAATATTTTCTTCACCTCAAAATATGAGACAATTTTGCAAATATTTGTTGTAAAACATATAAGATAATTTGACAAAAATAATTTTTGACTTATGATGCTTTTTTAATAGGATTTAAATCTTCTAAAGTTGTGATTGGTGAATTTAGGTGATTTTTTTAGTATTTTTTCATTTTATTATATTTTATAAAATATAAAATCTCATCCCCCTTTTTTAAAAATGAAAACTTCACATAAATTTATCAATCACAAATTCATGACTTTTGAATATTTAAATCTTTTTCAATATTATCTATCAAATGAAGAGAAATTTGAAATGATTGTAATATAATGATTGAGTATGTAGATTTGAAGTTATATTAAATGAAGAGCATATTTATCAATGGAGGTTAAGTTTAATGGAAGGGATTAGTCTATCACAATATTATGAGCCAATATTTGAATTTTTACTGAGAGAAATGCCTACAATTAGTGTTTGATCGTGTCTCAAATAAGAATGCCTCCAATATAAAGCTAATATCTATGAGCAATTAAATTAAAAAATGATGAACATTTTTAAAATTTTATATTTTTATTTTAAAAAATAAGATTGCAAAGTGTCAGTATTAAATTTTATCAGTATGTATAATATTGTTTCAAATTATATTAAAATTTAGGATAGAAGAAATATGTTAATAAAGTATGCATATTTAGGAGAAATAAAGTTGAGAACTTATTAAATTTTTAAACAAAATTAATTAATTATAATATTTTTCTTGGTTTAAATGAAATTTTTAAAAAATAATTTATAAATAGCATCAATAGTTAAAAACACGCGTATGAATATAGCTTAGATCTTACAATCAATTAGTGAATTTTGTTGGCGTGTAACATGTGAATGCTTTTATAAATGCTGTTTGAGCTATGAGCGCTTATATAAGAACTGCCATAGTTGAAATAAGTTTTTGAGACATATTCATCTAAGCTTCTTGTGATTTGCCATGATAAGATTAAGATGTGAAAAATACAATGAGTCCCCCAAGTTTTTCACACACACACACACACACACACCCCGGATCATCCCACGAGAAAAAGAGACAAAATAAAATAATTTATCTTCTATCATACTTCTTCCGAGCCCATTTATAACAATAAATGATAGTTAAAAATTAAAACACTCATAAACTCATGATTAAAAAAACGTCTGTTTAAAAGAAACAGATGATAGTTAATAAGGTCGAAATTAACATATTTCTGGTAGGCACTAAGACAGAAAAATAAAAAAAAAATCTAATTTACAAAGTTATTCGGCAAAATTGGATTCCTTCTGTACCAATCTATCCATGGCTGAACCAATAGCAACATTTAACTTGCGAGTTGCCCAAATAATTTTTACCATGCTCTCTCACGACTTAGTTTTTTTTGGCAAAAAATAAATAAATAAAAACCAAACAAAGGAAATTAAAAGTGCAGTTGGGCAATTCTGCTTTCGTTTCAATTTCTCTCTCCCGAATGAAGTGCAAGTGTGGATGCTTTGAACGCATAACACATGAAATGAATAAAGTAGAGCCAGTTTATTAATCCTCACCAACATTACATGTCACTCGCACATTGTCTTTGATTAAAAAAACCCGCACATCCCTGCGCATAATTGCATAATTGTTTAACCTTAAACTCGTATCTTACCTAATCTAATTGTAAATTAAACTTTGAGGGAATCAAGAAGCAAGGATAAGAAAATAAAATTAAGAGGATGATGAAGCTATAATATTTTTTAGTAAAGCTCCGGCTGACCCGGAATCACCGTGTCTGTCCTTTGATCTGTCATATCTTCTACATTACTCCATTTACGTGTTTGCTCATTTTCTCATGTAATAGTAATATTAATTAGTTTGTAGTTATTTGAATTTGTATTCTTGGTTGCTCTTTTAAATTAATGCATTAACATGAGGGTACTAGGTTGTTGACTCTAGGCTGAGTGTTGCTCAACCTACGCGTCCTTCATTAAAACAACACATCTGGTCAAAACCATGATCTTTTCATCGCCCCCTTTTGTCTCGGGACTCTTTTGCCCTTATTTTGTTCCAAAAAAGAAAATTGAATTATCTGAAACTTAAAAAGTCCACCAAACAAAATATGGGAGAAATTATTAATTAAAAATGGTGTGAGTGGTAGGAATTCCTGTCTCAAACCCCACCCTTGTATATATGTGTGTAGTAATTTAGATGGATTGATCTATGTATTTTAAGAGCAGTATTTTTTTTTTTGTTATTGGCAGAACCTACTTCTAATACATACAAAAAATCTACGAGAGAAGTTGATATTTTCTCAATGACAAGTAATTTCGCGAATGGGTTGTGCAAAAAGAAAATTAGATGACAAAAGGAAAAAAAAATTAAAGGAAAAACGTGAATTTGAGCTCTTTTATTTTGCTATAAGTCCTGTATTTTTTTTTTTGATATTCTAGATTCCTATATTTTTATTTTTTTATGTTCTAAGAGGGATCTAAAATATAAAAAAATGCAAAGATTTATAGTAAAACTTGAATAAAGTGTAGAGCTCTAAAATTATATTTTTTTTAAATTTAAAAATACAAAAGCCAGCTTACAAACGTTTATAGATATTTTAATTAATTCTTTATCATTTTGTCAGTTTGTTTGGTTGCATTCATTTAGTAGGCAATTCAAATTTTCTGATAATAATTATTTAATTTCAATAAAAATTAAAATCTACATAATTCAAAATAATGAAAATATTTTATTTTATAAAAAATTAATTTTGTGGAATTCCTAAATGTTCTATATCTGGAGTCATTCTCTGAAATTTAAGAAAAAATAAAAAGTATACATATAAATTCAAATGCATGTTAAGATTTATAAGTTACGTTTAAAAATATAAATATATAATTTTAAAAAAATTCAGAGCAATATATTATTATTACTAACATATCGTAGTTTGTTGCTCAAAACACATTTTATCATAAAATCACATGAAATTTGAGTTACATAAGGAAATTATTGCCACCTACATTTTTTTTCAATAAAATCATAGTTTATTTTTTTAAGGAAGTTATCAATAGTTTTTGTTAGAAATTATATTACTATTAATGTTAATACACATTCCAAAAATATGACTTATTTATTGGCCAAAAAAAAAATGACTTGTAGTTTATTTTATTTTATTTTTTTGGCCAAGCATATGACTTATATAAAGCCTGGAAGACATGGCCATATCACTTCATTTTTCAGTATAACCTTAAAAAAATGACATGATGGCAGTAGATAAACCGACCATTAAATGCCACGCAATATGGGCACCCCCACACAATCCTCAATCTCCGTAAAAATATTTTCAACACATTTCTCTACACATGTTGCCACTTCCTTCCTGTCTCCGTCTCTCTCTCTCTCTCTCTCTCTCACGCACACTAATGTATGTATATGTATATATGTATGTATCCTCTCACCCTCTCTTCCCGTTCAATTCAATATTGTTATTTTCCTCCCTTTTTCATTCATTCTCATTTCTCTCCCTCCTTCATCGCTTCGCTCAAGCCCCAAGCCACTTCCGAGTTCCGATCGCAGAATGTCTCGATCACTCTCCGCCACATCCACCAACTGCGATGCTGCCCCCGCCTCCGCCGGCGAGATCATGTTGTTCGGCGTTAGAGTCGTCGTTGATTCCATGAGGAAGAGTGTGAGTATGAATAATCTCTCGCAGTACGAACATCCTCAGGATGGCTCGCATAACAATAAGGAAGATGTTCTCACCGCCGGTTACGCCTCCGCCGACGATGCCGTTGTTCATAATTCCGGCAAGCACCGCGAGCGTGAGCGCAAACGAGGTCTGATTAATTCTTTTCGATGGAGTATAAGTTATAGATTTCTCCGAAATGGTTAAGCATTTGAAATTTCCCTTTTTTTGGCATTATTTGTTTCATCACTTTCTGAAATTGGTACTATCAGTTCTAGATATCTCTGTCACGGTTTATTTTCTGGAATTGGTGAAAGTACGATTGATTTCTCCGCTGAAATTTCTAGCCGATTTAGATAATGTTAGACTTCTGAAATCCAGGGACTACTTGAAAACGAACTGTGCCTTTTGATAACGTATGATAGAGATATTTGTGGGTGATTGAATAGGGGTTCCATGGACCGAGGAAGAACACAGGCTGTTTTTGCTGGGATTGCAGAAGGTAGGGAAGGGCGATTGGAGAGGGATCTCAAGGAACTATGTGAAGACGAGGACCCCAACACAGGTTGCGAGCCATGCTCAGAAGTACTTTCTTCGAAAAAGCAACCTTAATCGTCGACGTCGTAGATCCAGCTTATTCGACATTACCACTGATTCGGTAATTCCTTTATTATATACTATTTGATTAATTCTCTCTTCATCATTACTTTACCTTTTTTCTTTTTTAAATCGAACTTCAATCTAATTTCTTAGCAGCCTGTTAGTTGCTGGGAAGGGAAATGAGAAGCAACTAAGAAACTTCCAAGCAGAATTTTATACCTTATAGTTGTACTAACTTTAACTTTTGAAGCAATGCATGTCTTGCAAAACGGGCTTGAATTCCTGTGTGATCCCTAATTTTCCAATTGCTGGTCAAACTGAATGTACGTAGCATACATATTCTGTCATGTGAATGAATTTCTTAGCAATAGAAGAGAAGTTGGAAAGACTAGAATGTTCTGGTTCCCTGCAATGGACAGATTTGACTGACGAAGATATTATATTGAAAAGTATGAATAGGGGAATATATCTTATGCATGAAAAATTGTAATAAACAAAAGTTTTGGTTTTCTGATCTAATTTTCTTCTAGGTTTCGGCAAATCCAGTGGAAGAACAGATCCAGCGTCAGGATAATATGCCTCATTCACATCTTGTGCACCCTGCATCCTCTGAAACTGGCAACATCAATGGATTTTCAGTGATGCCATTATATCCAATGGCTATTGGGTCTGGAGTGATTTCATTCCCGGGCGGGAATCCGGTGGAGAAGCTCCCTCTGGGGCATGGAAATTATGAACACAACGGTCTAATTCCTTCTGTTCCAGATCCAAAAGCTTCTGCTGTGTCTGATGTTGCCTTGTGTTCAAGCTCATCTTTTGATCTACCGACGCTGTCTCTTGGACTGTCCTTGTCGCCTGATCAGAGGAATACATCATCAAGGCACTCAAGTTTACATGCAGTGCCATGTTTCAACAATAATGGAGAAAGCATCATAAGTGTTGTTTGAGAAACATAACATTAATTTATGGTTTGTTTCTCTAGCATTAGCAACTATGATTAACAGATATATTAAAATCTCGACTCTCCTGTCAATTTTTGGTGGGGGGAAAGAGAAAGAACAATGGATTAGATAAGGCAAGGTAACTAGGTGACAAAAATCAGTCCGTCCGTTGGTTGTACAGACCCCAGAAAGGTCCTGTCCTGTTCTTTGTTTGCTTATAATATGACCTTAGGTTCTTGTTTATTTGGAAGTTTATGTTTGAAGTTAATGTAACTGGTAACAATTGCTACTCCCTGTTCATTTCTCTCATAACTTTTGAATGTGGTCTCCACATGCAACTGGTTTCCATGGCTCTCAGAGAAATATATATATATATATATATATCGTATGGTTTAACAGTTGGCTGTCTGTGTCTTCCTTTTCCTAGGCGAGGACTGTATTGATGCCCTCTTAATTTGTTGAATGAGTATGAAGGAAGTTTCTTCATCATGGACTCATGGTCCATGCATTGTTCAGACCATGTTATTAAATGCTGTCGTTCTTGTGGGGTATGATGGGAATTAATGGTGTTGCTGATTATTGGGCAATGTGTGTTTGCTGCTTTAGAGATTTGAGGCTGTTGATTTGTCCTTATTTGGTGTGATGGTGAAATCTTTGATGTTTCGTCGTTAAGTAGTGTGGACCACTGAATAAGGTTATGTGTATTGGGAAGCGAGAGCGACGGCGATGGTTACTGGTGAGTTTTGAGGTAGCAGTATGGTGGACGAAATAAGAGGAGATTTGCAGAAAGTCATGCTTTTCTCTTAGAATTTGCAAGTTTCTCAGGAAAATTCTGAAACTGCGTAACAGCTTTATATTTGTGTGTGAAAGCTCTAACAGAAGTCATACGGTGGTAGAAGAAAGCCGTACAAGAACTCAATTCTGAGTGAACACCCACCCCCATCCCCACCCATAATTCCACGACATCTAGACCAAACTACGTCGTTTAAGCACTTCTTAGGTCTTTAAACTCGAGTACTCCAATTTCAGATTTTTCTTTTTTCTTTTTGGTTGACCAGCATCATAACTCCAATGCTTGACCTTGCATTATTCAAACTAAGACATTTCTTACACGAGGCTTCAGGGAAAATTTTGGCAGTGAAATGACAATATCTCTACATCTTTACCTACTGTAGTATTATTATGTATAAGTTATCTTTTAGAATGAATTGATGATTTTTTTACGAGTTATTTTATATAAAAAGATGAATCATTAATTATTTTATTTCAATTTTATTATTTTAATTTTTTTTTGATAAGCTTATTTCACAATTTTTTATAAGTAGAATTAAAATGTTATAGGGTAAGACTTATATAATTAATCTTATATACTTAACATACTTACATCAAATCAAATTATAACATGTGAATCTTAATGTATTAATTTAATTAATATCAAGAATTTATTATAGAAAAATAATCTATAAAAAATTCACATGTTTTAATTTAATTGAATACAAGTATCTTAAGTATATAAACCTAGGGATATAAGTTTTTCCCAATGTTATATATATGAGAGAGAAAATGCTTCAAGGATAATACATTTAATATGGATAAATTGAATTTTTTTCCTTGATAAATCGACAATTTAATTACACCACCTCTTTTAGTTTTGATAAAATAGTTATAAATGATTTGAATATAAAATCCGATGGGCTATCTGTCACACCCATACATCTTAATGTACTATTATTTTTTTAATTACATTGATACGAAATTATTTCGGTATTTGCAGATTTAGAGTACTTCAGTAAGCATTTGGAAAGGATTTTAATTTCTTCGTTGGTTGAGGATTCAAATAATAGAGTTATCAATATTTGAATTATGACTTTCTGATTTTTATTTCTCTCCAAGATGATAAAAAGGTGAAGGCTAAAAAATGTGGGCCTACTGGCTAGTTTTGGCGTAACGAAACTCAGTCATAACAGATGCTTGTCTTCCTTGGATCAAGATACATACGCCTCTACTTGACTATCTCTGTCATTCCGTGGCAAACTCGCATCTTTGCTCCTAGACTATTGTTTTCGTGTTTTTTTTTTTAATGTTTTTTGGGGCATTTTGTTTCCGAGAGAAAAACAAAAAAAAAAATTAGAAAAGAAAATTAATAATAATTAGATTCTTGATATAATTCTTTTGAGAATTAATTCACAAATATCAATTTAAATAATTGTAAATGCAAAAATTTCAATTGCAAATAAAAACATTTAAATTTAAAAAAACATAATTTTCAGTTTTCACACTTTGCATGTAATTTACTATTGATTTTTACATTTTATTTTTAATATTTTAAATTCTTACATTTTTTTGTCTACATTTTAAGTCTTTACACTTTCAGAGGAGTACAGACGTGGATAATAACACCATTAATTAGAGCTAGCAAAAAGGGCCAGCCCGGCCCTGTAGGGCCGACTCTTGAAGGGCTCGAGCCTAACAGGGCCAGTCCTTTTAAGCCCAAATTTCTTTTAGAACCCTGATATTTGAAGTCCAGCACTTGACATAACGGGCTTAGGGTCGGCCGTGCGAGCTTTAGACCCTTTTAACTATTTTTATTTTTTTTTAAATTTTTTAATCAAATAAAAAATTACTTCGTTCTAATATAATACTCAATCAAGAAAGGTACAAAAAACTAACTAATTAACATCTAAATGAACTAAAAACATAAATAAAATAATAACAATGCAATAAGCAATGGATCGGCCAAGCCGACAAACACCCAATTAAAATTAGAATAGTAAATGTTGAACTGAATAAATCATTATCATGGATCTAGATGAATTAGAAGATTTAAGGTAGTATTTTTTTTAGAAAATAGCAGCTAAGGATTTTTGTATGAAATTTATATCAATTAAGAATCAATTGTTGTCAAAACCTGAATGAAAAACAAGCTACAATAAACTATTATTAATTTAAAATAAGTTGTTATTAAAACCTAAATGAATACTTATTGATAAAGATTAACTCCAATCCACAAGGATCTACTCAAATTTTGACAACAAGTGATCCTTAATTGATATAATTTTTGATCAGTGATTCTTCATTACTATTTTTTTTTTCTTTTTGCCTTTCATCCTCAGTCAATATAGGCTAATATGTGATGTGGAGTAAAATTTAGTTTAATTTTTTTTCAAATCTAAAAAGAATAAAAATTATGAAAATTAATTAAAAAAACATATGTGGGCTTAAATGGGCTGGCCCTCGGCCCTGCAAGGCCAGCCCTTTTAAGCCCTAAATTAAACGGGCTTAAACAGTCGATTTATCATTTTGAAGTCCTATTTACAAGTTCGGCCCTACTTTTATATGGGTTTAAACGGACTAGCCCGATGGGCTCGGCTCGTTTTCCCGACTCTACCATTAATTATACGATGACGTGTCAATTAATAACTTATATGCATTTTTTTTGGGTAGAAAAAAAGAAAAGCTAATGTATATTTTTAAATAATTATTATATATAAAAAAGTATGGCTTAAGGTTATGAGAAAATATCATGTGTTCATTTTTTATATTTGACACAATTTTATGCTATAGGGTGCCTTTCTTGCTATTCTGTGTTCTAAAATTAGGTTTGGGATTAGATTTAGGATGGTTTTTTTAATGTATATAAAATATATTATTTAAGTTTGGAGTTATGACAATTTTTTTCACTTTCTGATTATTAAAAAAAACTCCCTTGAGTCCTATTTGCAGGACATATTTTACAAAAAAATTTAAGTCCAAAATATAAAACACTTTATAATAATTAAATTATTTTTTTAAATTTTATCCTTTCTTGAGTAACATGAAGATAATTGTATCATTATTTAAAGTTAAAAGTAACAATGAAAGTATAAATCATTTTTTATGATATAAAAAATAATTTTAATATGAGTAAAATGATTGAAAGTGTCTTATAATAAGGATATGAGGAAGTACATATAAGTTTTTTTTTTCTTTTTTTTCTTACAAAAAAATACACTTCAGCTACTAATTGGCACGTCACCATATAGTTAATAGTATTATTGTCCGCATCAACATAATTAACACAATTAATGCCACGTCATTGCCCTTTTGAAAGTGTAGGGACTTAAAGTGCAGATAAAGAAATTATAAGGACTTAGAACACTTAAAATAAACTGTAAGGATTAATAGTAAATCGTGTGCAAAGTGTAGAGACTAAAAGTCATATTTTCCCTTTAAATTTTAAACAAAATTTTAATATGTAGATGGGATTTATGTTTTTCACTGTCTAAATTAATATTTACAACTTTTTTAAAAAAAATCATTGAAGACTTAACTATCATTTTTATTTTATTTTAGTATCATTCTCCCTCGAAGTCCCTTCTAATTTTGGTACGACAAAATAGCTCCTATGGATTGTGTTATTTTTTAGATTTAGAATGTTTAATATTATATAATGGTGCCACAGAAATGGTAGTTGGATTAAAGCCTTAAACTGGATTACATTTGATACAGTAAGTATGATTTAATTTGTATGTGTAGTGATAAGAATACTAATAACCAAAAAAAGTTAATCAAAGTACCAACGTACGGTTGGTCCAAAAACATATTAAAAATCATTAATGTTTTTTAATTTATATAATTTCCTATAAGTAACATATTTACTTAAACTATCGATAATAATGAAAATGATTTGATAATATTTTTCTTACTTCAATTTTTTTTCGAATTTATTGAATAGGTAACTGAAATATCCTTCTTTTCAGATAAATATTTTACATTAATTCAATTTTTTTTGGATAAATTTTTTGAATTGACAACCACAAGAGCAAATGTAAAATATTTATACGAAACAAGGATATTTTCAGTTATCTATTCAATAATTCATTTCGTGCCATGTTTCGTTTTCGAATAATGGTGTTAGGAGTTGTCCATTTACGAAGCTAACACTGTCTGGTGAGACTCGGATCCTCTATCTCTCTTTTGAGGCAGAAGAAAATTTAAACTATCTAAATTTAATCTAAATAGTCCAGATTTAATTTAAATGATCCAAATTTAATATTTTTATTTTTATTTTTTATTTATATTTTTAAATTAAAAAATATATAAAAATTTTAAAAAAAATTTAATAAATATATTTATTAATCTAACAGTCCAAATTTAATATAAATAATCTAAAATTAATTTTAAATTATTTTAATAAATTTATTGTTCTATTCAGAATATATTCACACTATCCAGAATATATTTAAAAAGTTAATTTAAATTTTTTATATTAAATTTAAAGAATCTATATTAAATATAAACTTTTAGATTGATTAGTATATTTATTAAAAAAATTTAAAATTTTTATATATTTTTAAATTTAAAAATATAAATAAAAAATAAAAATAAAATTATTAAATTTGGACGGTCTTAATTTTTG